TGTCTGTTGTCTTCTCCCCGTTCTCGGGTGCTGGGACAGCTAGGGTGCAGTGGAACAGCAGCAGCTGCACAGGAGTGTTCATGACCGGATTAGACCTTGTTCAGCCTGCCGGGCAATGGGGGGCAGGAAACTGGCAGCAGCCAGATCAGTCCTAGTTCAGCCCCTCTGGGGCACCCGATGGAACAGGACAACTGTAGTGGCTAGATCAGTCCTAGTTCAGCACCCTGAAACAGCCAGAGGGTAGGAGAATGGCAGTGGTAGTGCAGGGTATGCGAGCAACCAGATCAGTCCTAGTTCAGCCCCACCAGAGTAGCTGGGGGTAAGTGGGGGACTACTTCACTGTTGCCTGTTGCACGCGTGTGGCACTAGCAAGGTGATCTGTGCCCTCCCAGTGCGGGAACCTGGAGCGGGAGACTCCTCCACCTCTGTCCAAGGGATGTATGTGGCTCTAGCAAATAGCTCTGGGCCCTCCAAGAGTGGTAGACTCCTCCACCACCACCTTCAGGGCGAGCGTGGCTCTAGCAAGCAGTTCTAGGCCCGCCTAGCTTGGGAGCCTGGAGCGGGGAACACCTCTCCTGGCCCCCGTGGGGTGTGTGTGTCTCGCAAGCTGTTGTGGGTCTACCTGGACTGGAGGATTTCTCCACCTCTGCCTGCGGGATGCCTGCAGCATGCCTGTGGCCCTAGCGAGTGGTACTGGGCCTGCCCAGAGCAGGAGCCTGTTGCCCGTGAGGCGTGCAACTCCGTGAGGGCAAAGGGACCCACTCAGTGACTGGGTTAATCTGGGAAGGTTAATACCTCCTTCCCTACCTTACACCCAGTCACTGGTGGTTCCCCAGATCCGAGACCATATTCACTCCAGTAGGCCACTGCTCCCGGGGTTTACCTGGCAAAATCAGCCAGAAATCTGAGTTCGGCAGGGGGGCCTTGCATGTGTAAATTAGGCTTCTGTCCGGTTAGATTTCTCTCCAAACCTTGGAGTGAGTGGGTGGGGATTCCTCAGAGTTCAATGTTGCAGGTGGGGAATATATACAGTTTTATATAGTTCAAACCTTCCCTCAACCATACACCCAGGGTGCCCCTTTCAATAGTCCTTGGGTGGTCTACCAGGTTTGAGGGGTCCAAATCAGTTGTCCCAGTCAACACCCGTTTCAAGTGGAAGAGTTCAAATGTCTCTGGGAGCTAGATAAGAGGGGTCTGCTTGCAGTTCAGATATAACTTGCTCCAGTGCTCTGCGAGGGC